CGGAACTGCAGAGAGGTTTAATCAGACCCTGACAACAATGGCCCGAGCATTAATCATGAACCTTGGACTCTCGCTGTGGGCAGAGGCTATAGCCACTGCCTGCTACCTTAAAAATCGCCTCCGTCATACACGGCTACCCGAAAACATTACGCCATATGAGGCACTACACGGCAATAAACCTACAATACACCATCTTCAACCCTTCGGTAGGAACTGCTTTGTTCACATTCACGAGGATTCGCGGCCTCCTGGCTCAAAGCTCCTACCTAGGGCACTGGATGGCAAGTTTGTAGGATACACAAGTAGCACACAAATCTTTCGGATATGGATCCCATCCAAGAACAAGGTTATGGAATCAACCAACGTCAAGTTTGCGCCGCTCGATTCAGGGGAAGTCACAATTAACCTTGAAAACCGAAGCAGCCTGCCACAAGCAATAAATGACGAAGCAGAACAACCACCACACCAGAACAACCCATCAATAGCCAAACCGCAGCTTTCCACAGATGACAAACTCGATGACCCCTCAAAGCAAATCCAAAGACAAATTGAAACGATGCACCAGCTAAAAGAATTATCTATCCCAGATTTATAGCCAGAAACGTCTGATATGCCAGGATCATTCTTCAAATCACCAAATTCTCGACCTAAGAGGACACCTAGACCCATCCAACGCTATGGCTTTCCCATAAGCTATGGGCCTACCTTTCAGACACGAGAAGAGTATGATAATGAGCAAGGAAATCTGGTTATTGCTGAGGAAACACAAGATGAAACTGGATGGATTGCAATGACTCTAGCGGCAAAAACCGCAACGGAAACTAACGAGGATCCGAGAAACATCGACGAAGCTCTCTCAAGGCCTGATGGACACTATTGGCGTGATGCAGTAAATAAGGAGCTACAATCCTTAAGACAAAATCACACCTGGGATGAAACTGCTCGACCATTAAATCGCAACATTGTTGGATCCAAATGGGTATTTAAAATCAAGCGAAAAGCGGATGGATCTATCGACCGGTACAAAGCTCGATTAGTGGCTCAAGGATTCAGTCAACTTCCTGGTCACGATTTCGATGAAACATTTGCCCCTGTAGCTTGGTATGACAGCCTCCGTATCCTTCTACAGATAGCCTCTCAAAACCAATGGATTCCCCAACAGATGGACGTAAATTCTGCATACCTTTACGGAAACTTGGAGGAAGAAATTTACATGGAACTACCCCCTGGATTCCGCACATCCGGAAAATGTGTTAAACTTCGTAAGTGTATCTACGGCCTTAAACAATCAAGTCGTGAATGGTATGCTTGTATCTCGAACTCCCTTCGACAAAAAGGATTCGAGATAACCAACTTCGATCCATGCGTCTTCGTTCACCCGACAGAAAATGCCTGTGTCGCGGTATACGTTGACGACATTCTAATCTTCGGTTCAGACAACATGTTCCGCCAAGCCCTGAAATCGTCAATCGGAAACGACTTCGACTGCAAAAATTTGGGAAACGCGAGTTATGTCCTGGGCCTAGAGATTAAACTAGAGAAATCTGGCATCTGGCTCTCTCAACAAGGCTACTCACTAAAGATACTAAAACGATTCGGTTTTGAAAACTCACATAAAGTTAGTACACCTCTTGATCCGAACGTAACCCTCTTCAAAGGATGTGAAGAGGATCGTCTCGAGAACATGAAGGAATACCAAGCCATCATTGGATCTCTAATGTACCTTGTTGTGACGGTCTTAAAGTGGCGTTTTATTCAAACTGAACTTAGAGCTAGATACAAATGAAAATCTTAAAGTAACGAGCAGAGACATGACTGAAAGCCTCCTATTTATTTATAAGACTATGATCTCGTTCCCTCAATTCATACCATTCTCAAAATAGATCATGACCTATCCTCTGACAAACACCAGCATCTCCTTCTATTTTGATTCAGCTTCATTTTAATGTTAGTAATTTTAGTTATTAAAATAGTTATGATGCATGTGGCTTAGATGACTCACACCTGGTGTTCGAATCGTCCTGTCTGCAATCTAAATTTGACATTTAAGAATAGATTTGCATGAACTGGGCCAAGGCCTATACTTGGGTCTAATGAGTCGTGGAGGGGTTCATGACATGTATGATGTTTGATATGGTTAGAAGAGTTCAAGCCTTATTTGTTAGGCAGCAGCCTAATGATAACCAGGTATGAGCCTGTGACACTTGTCATAGGAAGCCAACCAGACCTAGCCTACACAGTCACACTTTTAAGCCAGTTTGCATCTTGTCCAAATGAAAGTCACTTGCGAGCCGCCAAACGCACCCTTCGATATCTAGCGGGAACCACCGATTGGGATCTAAACTATCCTTTCGGATCGAACGAGCTTCTCGAAGTTTATGCTGATGCCTCCTATGCTGATGATCCCCATTCTCGGAAATTTACATCAGGATACGTAATCAGACTTGGTGATGCCGCAATCGCCTGGAGCAGCAAACAACAGCGATCTGTAGCACTATCAACTACAGAAGCCGAATACATGGCCATGTCGCAAGCTGCACGCCAACTCACCTGGACGAAATTTGGACTTGACCAACTGTGCCAAAAGTACGACACTTTGCTCTACACAGACAACAATGGAGCACAAGAACTGGCAAGAAATCCACGGATTCATAATCGCTCAAAGCACATTGATGTACATTACCACTACGTCCGCAATAAATACAACGAAGGAGATTTTGAACTTCTCCACGTAAAATCTACGAACAATCTTGCCGACCTTTTAACCCAAGCCCTAGCAAAGGCAACTCACCATAAACTATCTAACCACATCAGATGTGCAAAGCGAGGGGAAGTGTTGTAATCTAACGCTTTTCATCCTCGGACTTCATGGTGAGCAGTAGTTGTATAGCACGTGATGCCATGCGGGGGAGAAGGAAGAGGATGGCGAAAGCCGCTAGCCAGATCTCAGCAATCTGGCACACTTGTAGATGGAGAAATCCTTTTTGTATATAGACAATACAACCCTAACTAGTACAACAACAATAGTAAGGAACTCATACATCCGTACCTCAGTTACCTCATACATCGTGACCCATAAACCTCACTTTCATATCTATCACTCTACAACAAAGCTTCAACAGAAATGACCTGCATGACCTACATGGTCACAGTGTTGTAGTCATGAGCTATGCGGAAGTCACATTGCGGAGTGATGAAGAGTGGATGATGTTATAGTTAGTTGTTGACAATGAATAGACTCATACAGTATTATGCTGTAGGTGTATGGACAGAAAGTGTAAGACTAAACCTGTATCCATTTATTGTGGGTACATCTATGAAACTATATACATGCTCGCCTAACCAGTACACTAGTGATGTATGCTGTAGCCTTGAGCCACACCCGATGTCCAAGCCTCGACTACCTCGTTGTCTCATATCACAACACACAGACCCAGACAGGACAATAAAGTGAAATAATAAATAGAAAATCTACTCCCCTACCTATCCAGGGGTCGGATCCTTTCTATAGATTTCAGCCGTCCGAATATACTGCTAGGCCTTGGACTGGAATGGCCTCTTTGGGGCACAAAGGTGATCTAGTTTCATGGATAAATGTGGCGGAAACTAGAATGGTGTCTCATGGGGAGTTCCATTCTAAAACACAACTCGGGGTTAGATCAAGTTCTCAAACAATTAGGACAGGCTCAGGAACATAGGGTCGTTTCATAGGGATTGCGTAGTAATACTGTTTGAGACAGAGCTTAGGGCTGTCCTATTATCTGATGTACATATATACCCAGCGTGAAGGAGTATTCTTCTTCACGCAACGTCTTCTGTTTATACTCATACCTATTGTTCACTTACTTATCTCTTCTCTAAAGAAGACCGCCGTTATTGTACCCTTCTCACCTACTACTCATTTTATCTTTACTTCTTATGTGAACCATATAACTAACGCTGAATTTATACCTCCTACTCTTAGGAATCACCACCATACTCCACACCTGTAACCTACTTGTACCAAATTCGTACCCTACGGAAAACTAATAACACGGCTCCTTGAGATCTAGTGACGAGTTTGGTGCTCGTGTGCTAGCTCTCTTGGATGTGCCATGGAGATAGTTGTTTATGGACAAGGGCGCAACGTGTAGCTGATGCGACAAATAAAATAGGAAGGTGATATCAGGCATAAAAATCGTGTGATATACATGAGGATAAATTCGCGTTTGCCATACACTTCTCCACCAGATATTGATTTCTATCACACAACACCACTTCCCTAATCATTCTCAGCGTCACTTTACGACATGTCTAAGTTCCAAGACCTTTACACCTATCAAGAGAACAACTCTATTGAGTATATACTGCAGGAATGCAGAAAAAAGATCAGTAAAGGCTCTAGCTCTAGATCAGGTGAATTTCACCTCCGAGCTCTGGTGCTTTTCACTAACTCATTAGTTATTGAACGACTCTATTTAAATCTACATGAATATGCCGATTCATTAGAAGGCAAATCGAATATGGTGGAGCTACATAAGATATTCAAATTTACCTTGAACAGAGTCCTTGACAGAATTGATGATCTCAAAATGTTTGACCGACTTATTCAAAACACTATAGACAATAAAATTGAGCGAGATATTTTTCAATTAGCTATTGACCTAGGAACTGAATTTATAACAAAATCATCGATGGATACAAAGGATAGTTTGATTAGATGGAAAAGAAACACTACAGAAATACTTGGCTTTGGCAAAACTGTTGAACAACAAAATGATATTTTGAAGAAAGAATTACAAGATAACATATTCTGTGTTATCCCCAATTTCTGGGACAATTTCTTCGTAGGAAAGGAATGGACTGATCAGGCTTCCCGAATCTAGGAAAGCTATGATAAGTATGAAATTGCTGAGAAGCAACTAAGATCAAAAGAACTAGAGGGAAAAAATTCTTCTAAAAATGTCGAAGGACAGAAAACACTCCATGGAGCCAAGGACGAGAGGATCCTTGAAGAAAACATGACGGAAAGTGAGATATGGGACTGGCTTTACTTCTTTGAGGAAAACTTCTTGAATCAGCTCAAATGCCGCTCGTCAAGATCAACTAAATACCCCGTAGTAATAGAAAGTAAGGGCTCCCTAATACGAGGTAGGTACTGTCGCACAAATAGCACGCAACGTTCTGATGAATCTGAGGGTAAGACTCAGATTGACTTCTTGATTAAAAGTGTTGATTTACTCAATGATGATGTCGACTGGAAAAATATGAATGTGGGAGGTGAGTTTTCAATATCACCTAGCAAACAAGTGAGCAGGGACAAGTTTCTCCAGCTTTCGAGATCTGTTCGGGAAGCATTTTGTGCTCAGCCCCTGCGTCGGTTTATGCACGGGCTTCTCATGTTCAAAGAAGAATTTGAACTATGGGTTTATGATCGCTCAGGTGCTTACAGCTCGGGCAGAAAAAGCATATTACAAGCCAAAGAGATGTTCGTGCTATTGAAAGGCTATGCTGAGCTGGAATGACGTACCGTTAGGATGAAGGTATGGAAGGAGGTAGCTATGGCTTTAAGAAGTAAAGTTCGTGAGTTATACTCTTAGGACTTGGATCAATGGACGAACTTGAGGATATTCCCTGGTATTCTCAAGTGTGTAAATAATATGGAGATTGTTTGAATTTCCTATTGTATGAATTGCTTAATTTATCTACGTGATAGGACCTTCTTCTAGATACATGAATAAGGGGGTTCTGCACACTAGTGGATGTTCCAACATCTGTCCTTGTCTAACCGAGAAAGGAAGGATGTGAGAGATCCTAGCGCCAATGGATACCATTAGGAATCTATTGGGAAATACTATGTCATACCAATGAGTGATGATTTAGGTCAATCATATCCCATGGCGCATGTGCACATTATTCTAATGTGAACAGTTTATTGTAATGCAGTCATGTTACTCCCTTAATTACAACACGTGCGAGCACTATGCTCGTATTTGCTCATGAGCAATGAAGAACTCAGCCGTGACTTGTCAATCTCGAAGATCAATGGACAATCAGCAGTAAGAATAAAAGGTGACAATGAAGAATCAACTCAATTATTTGAGATCAAACCTTATCCTCTTGTGCGACCAAGGAGCCTGATTAACCGAGCTACAACCTGCTATGAAACGCAAGACAAATCATCAATGATAAAGTACTTGTGGAGCAGGTCTGAAACTAATGCTGAAGTGCAATTTATGAAGGATGCACTTACAGTTCCCGGCGTTGTGAAATACATAACATCAGATCTAGTTTACCAGAAAAACAAACACCTGGAAAGCCTCAATCTTTCCGACGCCCAGCCCTGGGATTTAAAAGCTGAAGAAATAATAATTTTGTCAGGCACTAATTACCACAATATGGCCCCACCATCCTTATAGGGAAATCGCTTTCTCTTGAGGATTGTTATGACACCATGTGGACGAAAAACGAACTCCAGTGGTTCGATCCTTGCTTTTGTTGTCGGAATTCGAGATGCAATAAGGGCCCACCAGGCGCTTGTCAATAAAAATATTCAACATGGAGACATTTCGGACGGAAATATTATCTTGATAGATCCAACTCCAGATAAAGACTGCCATGGTCTCTTGATTGACTTCGATTGTTCAGTGAGGTTGAAACAAAACATTGCTGAGGATGATGGACGATTCTTAAGAGGCATCTTGAAGTTCATGGCACTCGAGAGATTATACTCTGATGGAGAAACAAAGTCTACAATCCGACGGACTTATTGCCATGACCTAGAATCCTTTTTCTATGTGTTCATTGTAGGATCCATAGAACATGAATTCGTCATAGACAGTAAGTCTTATAATCTGGATTTTTGGTGTTTGGATGTAGTTGAGAGCTGCTACTCAAATAAACGAATTCATATATATGAATTCCCTACGCTTCTCAACATGTTCACGCCCAGTTTCAAAGAACTTGAGCAGTTAGCTAAGAATTTACAAACGATTCTATTTGAAAAGGATGGAAGCTATATCGCAACCCCCAATGACCGTGGATTGCTGTACAGGAGAATGATAGAAGCGTTTGATGACACAATCGAGGACATAAGAGGTTAGATATATTTATCAACGCATGATAGTACTCTTCTTTCTAGCTCGAGCTTTGCTGAAAAACTATTCACCATAAGCTGGAAAGATCAAGAATCCAACTTTCATAGCACGTTGATAATAGATTGCAGTACAGGATATTGCTCGCAACAATCAGTTTCATAAAATGCTCGTCTAGTAGGAAGAACACCACGTGGCTCCTGGTTGGACGTGTGGACTAACTTCTATGTGTCAAGCAGATGAACGTGTATGCACTAGCTATTAATTACACATAGATTTAGAAATTAATATTTACATTTCTATTTTTCTTATCAATGAGAAATGGCAGAGGTTATGCTAGTATCATGCCTACTAACTTGTAACACCTCAATGATTGGTTTTACAATGTCAGTGAGACCATATTAAGGTGTTAGCTATCAACAGGTGTTAAAAATCTTGTAGTCCTGCAACTGTTACACTAGTCATGCACTATCTATTCTCTGAAACATGAATTACTATAAGCACTTATCACGAAATATATTGGAAATTATGGCATGTTCTTTGGATTAGGTCCTGGTCAACAATTTCTAGCCTAATTTAGCTATGTTGCAGGCTACTGTTGTTATGATAACGAGGTCATGAGAAGACAGAGGAATACCTGAAATGGATGCAGATGATTGTGGATATGCGGATATAATTGATGTAGCTGTAAATGCGAAGATTCGTTGGAATGAACAGTGGAAAGATGGTTATCTATCTATGTGCAGAAGTATTGCTTCCTTATATATACATTCAGTACCCCAGTCCTGATCACGCACTCACCACAGGTGCTTCCTACTTCTGTCACAGTAACCACTTCCATAGCCCCTATCAATATCTCCTGTCATAACATACTATTGACACTGGTTGCTAGTGTGGAACTCCCGGGATTGCAGAGCTACATACCATTGTCACATGGTATGCTGTTGCCCCTCGATAGCCATCAAAGTGATGTGCACCTCAGTCTAGACGCATTGGTCCACCAGGCAACGCTCGGATGTAGGGATAATGCCAGAGTGATTAGGTACTTAGCTGTGCTATCAGTGCCCTAATCTCATCTAGCTTACTGCGGCCGAGAGTCCAAGTGCCGCTGTTATAGCCAGGCATCCTTGGAGAGGTTTCAAGGAGAAGGTTCTGAGGAAAAGGTGATATGAGAAGGTTTTAAGAAAGGTTTTGGGAAAAGGTTTACTGAGAAGGTGTATGAATATTGGCTTTGATTACGTAGATAGAGACTTAAGTCATGTGATTTAATTAGCGAAGTGCTGGGGAACTGCTATTTGGCAGGAAGGTAATTGAGAGAGAACACATACACACTTTTTCGTACCTGTTTCAAACCTCTCGTGCTAGCACAATAATCTACCGGTGATATACCGACACTGATCAGTGATCCGTAACATCGGTCACAGATCTGTACGCGGTTACCAATCGAAGGAACGTCCCTTGGAGTCGTCGACCTTGTCTGAACTGAGCTCCGACGTGTCAAGCCCAAGGAGCATTAAGTATTCGCTCTTCTTGCTTCTGCGTCCACCAACGCACCCCGTCAATTAAGCACTAAGTATTCGCTCTTCTTGCTTCGCGTCAATCACGCAATTAACTATTGAAAAAAAAAGAAAAAAAATGTCTAACTCATCAGCAGAACAAAAATCACTGGGGACTACGGAAGAGATCACAGCATATGTCAAAAACAGACTGGAGTTATATAAAGCCAAAGGTGCAAAAGATGACTCGCTTTGGGAAAGATGGTTAGAGGATTTCGAAAACTGGGACGTAGACCAGTTCAGCAAGATCAATTCAGATCTTAGGAGGGAATTCCGAGACTTCCTAATTTCTCGTGGAGTATACATGACACCAAATCCAAAAGGGAAACATATCGATCAACAACTAGCCACAGAAGTGAAGAGGGAGGAGTTTCATGAATGGACTCCTGAAGAACTTATTTACTACAGGAAGAAAAACCCTTTTGGCGTAAGCACACGATGCGATCCCAAAGATCCAAACTACGTTGAAGAAGAAAGCATACTTGGGGCCACCGCAGAGTATAAAAAGTACCAAGATTTTAGAGTTGATAACAAGGAGCGGATAAAAGATCAAACTGAAGCAGAAAAAGGAAAGGGAAAAGAAAGGAGTGGACAAACCACTGATGACAGCAACTATGCTGCAATTTACAGCAAAAGCAGCGGAAAACCACACAACCCTACATCATCACCATCATCAACTCCAGTAATTCTACCATCAACTACCCATAGAAATGAGACACATTGGGAAGATCGCCCACTGCACAAGAGTAGACAACTAGAATCCCTCGTGAGGATGTATAAAGAAGAAGACAAGTACAGTGATGGGACTGATAGCTTTGATTACAAGCGAAAGATTTTTCTCAACAACTGTAATAACGCCTGTGTCGAGAAGAAGTACCTGAAGGACGCTTTAACCATAATGTTTACCGGCGATGCCAGTGAAAAATATCTGGATCTCACATTGCACGATGAAAATTTATCTTTCGACGAGCGATGTAACATTATCAAATCACACTATGAAACAGTCCACTGGGTAAACAGACGTGAAACAATTTGGAACACTCTCAATTTAATTGAAGAAATGCGGAAAAGTCCAGATAAACTTCAAGCTTTCAACAATCTCGAAAAAGAACTTCGTCGTGTTCAAAGGGGACTCGAATCCCACGCTGGTGATGCTGCATTGCGAACCAGAATTATCAATGCTTGCTCTGGAGTTGCAGACCTACACTTTGTTTTATTCTCTCCGGCAAAAACAGCAGAAGGTGTTTGTGCAGATATACGAGCAAGATTTATGCAATTATCACTATCCGGCACATCAATTTCTCAATATCATCAGCTCAGTCACGTTGAACATAATAGCTTTGATAACTCTTATTTAGCTGAGCGGCAGTACCAACCAGTGAGAGGAAGTAGTACAGGTAGAGGAAGCCAAAATTTTCGTGGAAGAAGAAAAATAGGATCAGGACCTAGTATGGTAAAGTCAACCTGGAATAAACGCTGCATTGTGTGTAAAAAGACAAATTGTTGGTCTTCTGAACACACACCGGAAGAGCAGAGAGCAGCGTTTGAAAAAATTAAAAAGACGTACCCCTCAAAAGACGAAAACGCCGTACAACAATTTGTCCTGCAATTCGAAGGAGAATCTCTAGACGCTGAGTTACACCATTTTTTATCTGTAAACGAGCTCACTGACGAGCCAGAATCTGAGGATGGATACTGTTACCAAGAAGAAAGTCAAAATTTTCTTATTTCAGAAATTGGAGGGAAAAATGTCGCGGGCTACCTTCAAGACCTAACAACTTTCCACAAATTTACAGCACCAAAAACGAAATATACAGCATCAAAACAAGAAGAAAAAATGTTAATAACAGTTGCATCACTAGACTTCGATTTTCCTGGTGTCAATAAAAGCTTTGATTTGGAGACAGATACCCCTGCAGTTTTTCATTTGTTCAGAAATGTATTTTCTATTGGTAATGACTATAATGAAAGATACGATGAAAGAGTTTTCCATGGCGTTTTGGTTGATACAGGTGCAGCGGGTCGTTCCACAGTTGGAGTTGGACAAGCCAAAGCACTTAAGCATTTACAAAAGGAGTTAAAGGTCGATAGAACAAGGGCTGGAGAGGTAAAAATATCGGGAATTGGTGACGGCGTTTTTATTTCTATTGGTTCTATTACTTTGGATACGCCCGTCGGCAGAGTTACGTTTCACATTTTACCCTGCAATACCCCGTTTTTGCTCGGCTTACAAGACATGACACGATTAGGTGTCACACCTGATGTGCAGAAAAACGTCATGATCAAAAACCAAAAGCCAGTAGCAGCTCTCATTCGAAAATACGGCCATCTATGGATGACACTCGGCCACTTCCAGTCTTTATTTATTTACGAATCTAATAATGAACCTATTTGTTACTTAACAGAACAACAAATTAGGACATGTCACCGTCGATGGGGACATCCATCAGCTTCTAGAATGTGAAAAATTTTTCGGCGAGCTGGTCATGACATTGACATAAAAATCATTGACCGGATATCCAAATTTTGCAATGACTGTCAGCTAAACGCTCATCGGCCTCTACGATTCAAATTTACCCTCACTAATAAAGATGTTCCATTCAATCATACAGTCTACGTCGACGTAATGCATCTAGAAGACGGACCGGCTGTACATCTAATAGACGCTGGAACTAACTTAGGATCAGCAGATTTCCTTACTGGGCCTGACAAAGAAGGGGCTATCTCTACTTGTAATTCAATTGAACGCTGTTGGAATAATGTCTACAT